ACGAAAAGAAGGTATTTGCAGTGCCCCCGACGGAGGCGTCTCCTTCTCTTTGTTGCTGTTTGATGTGTTTATTTTTGCATTAAACTGTTAAATGCCAAACGCATTTCAATCGCGGCCAAGAGGGCCCTCCCTCCCCCCACCGCACCCCAAATTGTGGGCCAATATGTCGCTGAAAGCGCCGCGAGGGGCGGCGGCGTGAGGTGAAATATTGAAAGTAAATACAAACACACAGAGAGAGAGAGAGAGAACAAACCGAAAAGGTCAAAGTTTGCAAAACTCTTTTGGTTTTTTTTTTCGCGTGGAAAATATCTGTCTTATCCGCGGGGGAAATTGCCACGGCAATGGCTGCTAAGTGGGCCTGAAGGCGGAATTTACGAGTGGCTGTGGGATGTATCCTAATGGAATCCCATCCACGAAAACCCGAGTGGGTAAAACGGAAACTTTTGCCCAAAGGTGGCAACATTATCAATTGTGCGGAAAGCCAGAAAACCATCAAAACGACGGCCACAGGAGGCCGCACACAGGCCACAGAAGGCTTTCCTTGGGTGTAGATTCTCCTGCCTTTAATTGAAGGAAGATGTTTCCCGTTCGAGGACTTTCGCGGCTCTTTCATGAAGAAATTCCCATCTTTTCGAGGGCTAAATATTCAGTTTTCGCCTCTTTCGCTGGCGTTGAAGAACAGAGAAAACACACATATCCATCCATCCACCTTTACATTCAATAAAAATTGTTGCACATTCAATAAACCATCCTTTTTTTTCGAGAGAGAGAGAGAGAGAGAGAGCGAGAGGGAGGCTTACAAGTCTCGTATTTGTTCATGTGGAAAACTTTGAAGCAGCAAAACGTTTCGCTTCGCTTTGGCAAACATTCAAAAAGAGTAAAAAACAAAAAGAAAAAGAAAAAACTGTGAAATGGTAAAATGGGGCGGAAAATTGATGAATCGAGAGACGAGACTGAAGAAGAGAGTTTGGCAGACAGACAGACAGGGCGAAGGGCCACTCGATGGAAGGGTTTTCTTTGCCTCCCTGCCCCTTCCCCTTCCCCTTTGACTCGTGTGTGCCTCGTGCACCTACCTTTTTGCACAGCATGCCACATGTCGCATGTAGCCGTCGTTATAATCGAATTGATATGCCAGACGACGGCAATTGGGTTTCTCTTCTTCTCTTTTTTCTGTATGCTATAAATTCAATTACATTTGAATCAACGGGAGAGCCAGACCCATGTGTTGACGGTGTCGGTGCTCCGCGTTGGTTGTGGCAGCGGGCTGTGGCCTGTGAATGCGCGGAGGAGGAGGAGCGCGGGGCGGGCATTAATTAAAATTAATGAATTGTGACAGAGTGTTGATTTAATGTCTACGCTGCAAGGGGCAGCAGCAGGAGCAGCAGGAGCGGAGCGGAGCAGTCGAGTCGTTGGGCAATTGGGGTAATTTCTTGCACAGTGCAATGGCAGGGGGGCGGGGGGGGGGGGGGGGGGCGTATACGTGATGCAGTTTTGTAATTTGTAATTTGGAGGCCAAGATGCAGTTGCACGTTGCTTGTATGGTGTGCCTGTGCCTGTGTGGGTGTGCCGTGGAGTCAAGTGCACGTGTTGCCCGCCCACACACACACATACACATACACGGGGCGTATGGGTAATGTAATATGCATCGCTGTGACGTCAGTGCAGGCAGGAGGTCTCCCAGGGCCATGTCAATGTCTGGCGCTGCTTTCTGCAACATTGCAACAGTGTGCGTGTGTGCCCCAGGGCAAGTGTTGTGTATTCCCCAAATGTCCTTTTCAATGCAAAAACTGAAACTGAAACTGAAACTAAAAATGAGCTTTGGAAATGTGTTGGCTTTTCTCTCAGGCAGGTCCCAGGGCTGGCACTGGCACTCCCTTTTCCCGCCACTGCCACTGCCGCTGGGATATCTGCCACACAGCTGCCCCTGCCCCTGCCCCATGCCGCTGCCCCCTCTGCATCGCTCAACATCTACACACAATACTCATTGCTTATTTATCAGATATATCCACACATTGCCAGGACTCTCAGGCCCATCTCCCACGCGTTTTTCCTCCTCTGATTTGATATTTCTTAAGCGATTCTCCCTCCACCCCAATCCCTCTCCCTCTCCCCCTCCCCCTCCCCTCTGTGTGGGTGTGAGTTGGCCGCACAATTAGTTTGCGGCTTCTTAACGAATTCGTGCTGTCGCTTTTCTGTTGTTTTGTTTGTTTTCGGGTGGGGGAGAAGAGGGGAGCAGGGGGGTCCTGCCAGCCGTCATTTGACTTTGGGGCATCCTGAATTATAAATAAATCTCTGCATTACGTTTAACATGAAAATTGAAATCCCATCTGACGTCACACTGTATCGCCCACACGCGATTCGATGGGGTTTATACCTGAGAGAGACGTCGCGATGCTGTGAGAATTTCAATGAAATTATTGTTGTGGCAGGATGCAAAGGGAGAGCGAGAGATAGAGGGGAAAAGAACGATTAATTATCCTCGGAAATTATGCAAAAATGTTAACAATTTGTGTGTCTTCAAAATGGGTTTATGCGGTGGCTTAAAACGGGTTTTGGAAAATTGGGAAATTTCAAATTCAATTCGGAAGGAAAAAGGCTGCCCTGATTTTTCTGATTTTTCAATCAATTTTCTATGAAAAATTATGTTTCTCCAGCTATTCCTCGTTTTGGCCACCGCATAAACCTCTTTTGGGCCTTCGTCCTTGGCCATTCACTTACCGACACGAATCCCGTTGTAATTGCCAGCCAACACTAACGATAATTGATTAGAGTTCGGCCTTAAGTGTCGGCTGCTTGGCCAAGATAGAGAGAGAGAGAGACAAAGGCAGAGAGTGGGTAATGCTTTTGGCCATGTTTGTGTTTGTCTGCAATCGTGTTCCTGTGTGTTTGCTAATTAGAGGCCAAACTTTCTGCTTAATTAATGTCATTAGTGGTGCGCATTGTTTCAGCCAAAGAACAGACCGAGAGAGAGAGAGCGAAGATAGACGTAAGAGATAGATGGGGCCCCCCCCCTCCCAGGAAAACTTTACCTTCCTCTCGCAGAGATGAAAGCCACTTGCAGATTAGCCCACAAAGATTGTCTGGAGAATTCTGAAAGAAAGTCTTGTAGATTGTGGCCCAAAGATAGCCAGACCCACAGCCGGTCCCCTGTCCCCTGTCCCCTGTCCTGCCTGTCAGTGGCGTTCTCCTCCTTGATATATGAACCGAGGCATCTCCCATTTGCATAATTGATTTGCAGTCTTAATTGGTTTCCATATCGCTTTCAAATTTGTTTAGATTTGCATTCATTTTCCACAGATAAGTAAACAATATCTACGCCTGCACCCCGTGTCAAAGCCTCTACTATTTTCGTGTATTTTCTTGTATATTATATGCATTTCCTTTCCCCCAAATGTGTTTTCATGAACTTGATGCATGAAAAATCTTGCCTGCCTGCGTGTGTGTGTGTGTGTGTGTGTTTTTTTTTTGTTGTTTTTTTCTTCTTTCTAACAAACAATTTTCATTAACTTTTGGTGTCAAACAAAAAACGAGAAATGAATGCGGGAATATTCTTACTTTTTGTTCTTGTTGTTGTTTAGAAATAAATATTTAGGCAAACACGTCAGGGCGTCTGTCTGTGCCTCAGCCTCTGCCCCAGCCTCTGCCCCAGCCTCTGCCCCAGCCTCTGCCTCAGCCTCTGCCTCAGTCTCTGCCTTCTCTGTAGCCTCTGTCTGGCATTGGGCCAACGGAATTTGTATCTGTTTCAAATAGGCATCCAACGATCCGCACTATAAGTAGAGGCATCATCATCTCTATCTGTATCTTTATCTGTATCTGTATGAATGTATCTGCAGTTTCTCTCAATTTGTGCTGCGTATTTCAGAAAAGATGCTTTGATTAACAAAAAAAAAAAAAAGAAAAGAAAAGAAAAAAAATGTATAAATATATAAATTGGTATGCAATATCGTAATATTTTTAGTGGGATTATTCACTACCGATTTGCCCACAGAATGAGTGGTGATAGAGGGGGTGGGGGGTGGGGATTGTTGAAAATATTCACATTAATTTCCCACTGCTTGATGTCTTACTCCCCCTGCCCCTACGTGCCCCTCCCCCCACCCATCCGCGAGTGCCAATTAATTGCGTGATGGTTTTTGCAGTGAATTTTCCGCCAGATACTCGCATACTCGCATATCGTGGCTGCTCCTTAGGCCATAAATATTTTTTGGTGGATTTTCTTCGGCTGGGCTGTCTGTCAACCGATCAGCATTTAATGACTGTCTTGAAGTGTAAGGAAAATGTGGGAAAATCTATTTGGCATTTTCTGTTTAATTGCTTTGCGATGGGCATGTGTGTGCGCGCCTCTCGAAAATGTGGGAAAATGTCTATTAAGGGAAGAATTTTAATTGTGTGTGGAAAAATAAGACATTTTCCGAAAGAAATCTTATTTTTTTTTTTTTTTTTTTTTTTTTTTTTTTTTTGGGGAACAAACAATCTTTGGACCCGTTTCCGGTGCGATCGTAAACATTTCTTTCTCATTATTTCGTGTACCTTTTGAAATGGAAATAAATGGCCGAAAAGTGGCATAGTAGAGTGCGGTTCGTAATTGTAAGACCACTTAAACCTTTAACAACAATTACAAAAATAATATATATATGTATGACCGAAACGACTGGGCCACTGGGCCACCACAGGAGGTGGTTTGGGGGGGAGGGGAGTAGCGGAAAGAGAGACAGACCAAGGACATGTGTATCCTTTGGCTTTGTGGCCACTCAAGTGGCAAGCGGACTGTGGGGGCAGGGCAATTTTCCACTGGCCCAAAGGACTTTCCACTGCCGGCCAACTGTTTTCTGACCACCGACAATTAAAGTAAAAGCTTGTGTCAAGTGGGGCATGCCACCACACTGGCTGGCTGGTTGGCTGTCGAGTGGATTTACGGCATACTCTTTTAACTATAAATTAGTTTACTCTTTACTCACTTTATACTCATTCGTTTCTCTCTCTCTCTCTCTCTTCTGCAGAACCAAGAAAAGACAAGACTGATGCACAACAACAACAACAACAACAGCAACATGGTGGCAACGGCACATTATCCACGCCCAACATCGAGCAGCCGCAATGTCAGGGTTCCATGCTACCGCCACCCGGCGGCGGCGGCGGAGGAGGAGGCGGTGGCGGCCATCACCAGGTGGATGGAAAAATGGAGAGGCCCAACACATTGGGCGGCGCCAATAAGCTGACCCGCCGAGGAGTCAATATTTGCTACCACAACGAGCACATGTGTAAGTGCACCCCCCACGCCCCCACAAGAGGAATGAATATCCTTTCAATACTCATAGAACTAGAGAATCCGTTCAGCGGGAAAGCGAGGGAGGGAGAAGCTACCAGAAGGGTTGTGCAACCGATTGAAAGATGATTAAAGGAAGATACATAATCGAACTGAATGGGCAGTAAAGGAAGGCACCAAACGGTGGTTCACTTAGGAGATTGAAACACGATATTTGGTCAATAGGAGATGGGAATGCCGAAAGATGACTCTGCAAGCTGTAGATTGCAAATATTTCAATATCTATCTCATTGCAGACCCTCAAAAATGAACAGCTTTATCGATTTGGTAGTCTAGAAACGGAGATTTCTTGATCTTAAAGTTTTTTTTAGTTAGTTTTTCCATAAATATTTAATAGGATTTCGAACAGAATTCCAAACGTTACTAGCCGAAAGTAGTGGAATATCACAGGAACCAGGGCTATCTTTAAAGGATATTCTAATATTCTATCGAAATATATCGATAAACCAACCGATTATCAATAAATTATAGAAATATATTTAAAAAATATTGAATTAGATCGATACATTAATCGATATCAAATAAATTATAGAAATATATTCATAAATTATCGAATTGGATCGATATATTAATCGATAACAAATTAATTATAGAAATATATTCATAAATTATCGAAATATATCCATAAATTATCGAAATATATCGATAGCTATCCATTTACGATAAATCTAAAATCGATAAATGATCGATACATTTTTTTAAGCTATTTTCAATCGGTGGCAACCTGCAGCCTTTCTTTCCCCCTCGTTCGCCCCAGAAACTTCACGCACACTAAGCCACAAAGCACACGCACACGCACACACCCCAAAACACTCACCAGCCCACCAGTCACGGTCACACACGCACACACACGCACACATTTATTGGCTAGAATCAAGGAACAGTTCTCTCGCTCTCGCTCTCGCTCTCTCTATCCTCTCTCGCTCCTCCAGTGCTCTCGCTCTCGCTCTCTCGTGAAAAATATACCACTCGCTGTACGATTCCCAAACACATTTTTTGATTTCCCACCCACAGATGGCGACGATGGCGGCAAGATGGTAGGCGGTCCGCCGGGCAGCACACCGCCGCCGTATGCGGGCGGCAAGCTGCCACCGGGGGTGATGCTCAGCGAACTGCCAGAGCCGCCGATACCGCTGTCGGAGATCGGACCGATCCCACCGCCGCCAATGTTCTCCACGCCGAGCCCCACGCTCATCGCTGGACGACCGCACGGGCCAGGCGCCATACACGATCAGGACTACCAGCAGGACTATGACTATGATGGTAAATCGATCGATGAGGGGACTCCACATACATATATTCTGAAACCCCCTAGAACCAAGCCCGGACAACACCCCCCCCACCCCACCCAACACCCCACCCAACACCCCTCCCACCTTTTGATTAGCTCATTACCCCCCCTCAGAACAAAAACGCGCACTTCATACCTATGCTAGTGCTCCGAGACGCCCCTCCCCCGTCCCTAGCCATCCCCACCCCCGGCCCCGCATAACCTTTGACCCCTGCATGCTGATTACTTGCCTTACTGATGCCATAATCCATACCAATCGCCCCACAGATCACGATCCCGATCAGGACGAACTCGATTCGGACGACGAGTATGCCCCATACGGCGGTGGCGGTGCCGGCGGCAATCATGTCCGCATGATGGACACCCAACGCGTTGAGGAAATTCCAGCCAAAGAGCCAAAGCCAAATGCAGTTCCTCTCAAATCGGCCCTGAAGAAGAAGGGCGGCGCCCTGCCAGCCTCCGCCTCTACGCCCGTGACCCCCACCCAGGAGCACCATCATGGGGGCGGACCAGGCGGCGGCGGCGGCGGCGGCGGTGGCGGTGGCCAAAGTGCAGCCACAGCGGCGGCCATATCCAATAGCAATGGCGGCATCGGCTCCATGGCAGCAGCCGCCGCAGCAGCGGCCCAACAATCGGCCAGCCAGCGGCCTCTGGTGGTGCGCCAGGATGCGGCAGGGAATAACTATTCGCTCAAGTGAGTAAAACAGCAGTACAACCAGAAACAGGGGGGGCTTTCCTCTGTACCAAAGGAATCCCGTGGCATCGTGAAGGATGCATTCCATGGGACCTCTTTTGATCGGGAAGGCCCCTTCCTGCCTCAAGTAGCATTTACATATTTTGTATGGTTTTTTGTTTACTTTTCACTTAACTCCCAGTTAAACCCCCCCGCCTCCGAATACCACTCACATATTTTGGTAGTTTTTTTTCCCCCAAAGAAAAACTTGTATTATTCACCAAAAGATCTGATCTCCCACCCCCCCCTCCCCTACCTCCCTCTTCCCCAAAATTTCCTCTCTATTTTAGGCTATTTTTTTGAAATTTATTTTTCTTTTCTTCAATTTGTTACTTGAACGATTTTTCTATATAACAATTTGTTCTCTCTCTCTCTCTCTCTCTCTTTCTTCTCCTTTTTTCTCCTAATGCCCCCCGCCCCGCCCACTCCCTAACGTACTGTGTACTGTGTTTGTTCTTTTACATCATATTTGATACGTACGAACACGTTCAATCAATCAATCAAACAATCAATCAACAAACAAACCAACAAACCCCCCCCCCGTCCACTTCTGTAACTACAACCTACTACTATTCTGATCGACAAAAATCAGGCCAATACTACGACCACGGATTAGAATATGGTAAACCATTTTTTTTAGATAATTTATTTGTGTGAGAAACAAAATCGTGACCCCCACCCCCACCCCCCCACACACACTCAAAAAAAAAACGTATGCAAAATGCTTTTAGTGCACATCCTTTCCAACACACATGCATCTTTCCCTATCTGTGTCCCTCTCTGCCTCCTTCTATGTGTGCTGTTGTGTAACATTTACCCCCCGCAACTCCCCCACCCCCCCGACCAGTACAGTAATCCTATCACAAAACAAAATACAAATGGAATTCCCGGCTTTACCCCCGGCTCCTATCTCTGCCACTCACTCTGCCGCGCCATTGCACTTCTAAAACACTCCAACATCCGTTTCTGTAGTAATTTTTTGTGTTTAAGTTTCTTTTTCAACTTTTACAACACTGAAACACACACGCACACTGGAAAAGAACACACTGTACCGCTGAAAACTACTTGCGTACTCTTCTTTGTTGTTTTTTTTGTTTAATATTAAATTACTAACTTACTTTTTCTGTGTTGTTTTGAAGAGGAAACTTGTTTCTTATTCTTCGAGATCCTCCTCAAGTACTCAACACATTTTCCCCCTATCTGTGTGTGTGTGTTTCTCGTAAAAGTTTCTTTCCGTCTTCCTTGACTCTGTCTATACTCCTACTCGACAGAGGAGACGTCCTGTTTCCTGTTCCATCTGCATGTTTCATTTCAAATAAGAATTTGTTTCAAATTACATCTCTCGGTTTCTCTCTCTCTCTCTCTCTTTCTCTCACTCTGCCTGTTTTAATTTGATATTTTCCACATTCGAAATATGCATAAAAACCAGAACACCAGAAAGTATGAAAGAAAATTAGAATAAGAAAAAAAGAAACCCAAAAGCAGGAAATGAGTTTAAGTTTTTTTTCTGGGGATTTTTTTTTTTTTTGTGCATTAGCCAAAAACTTTTGCCTTTAAACTTTTGACCCGAGGCGTTCAAACGAAAGCCATGGATTGAAATTTGAATTCAAATTGAAGGAAGGAGGGAAAAAAAAACACCAGCAGCAGCTGAAACCGAAACCGAGAAACGGGAGCCGCACATGCGAGTGTTTTCCAACACCAAATATTGAGCCATAGAATCGCAACATATGTCAGTCTTTTCTCGTCTGAAGGAGAAAATCTTTAACGGGAGAAGGGTTTTCCCTTCACTCTCTTCACATGAGCGAAATTTATGCAGTTTATTGCAAAAAGAAGCCAACACAGAAAACGTTGAGAAGGAAATATGTAAAATAGATGCAACAAAGCGTAAATGCAGAAGCCTGCCATGCCAGGCCATGCCATGGCCCAGTACGTGCCTGGGAAAACATTTTCCTGTCTGCCCGAAAGCCTGTCTCCCTGCCATGATATCTATCATAAGAGTACGGGTACGGGTACGGGTGAGGGTGAGGGTACGGGTACGAGCAGGGGCTCAATTGAGTGCAATTTATGGATCTGTCGAACTATGAAGCAATTTCGTTTGGGGAGGAAATGTTAAATGGATCGACATACGAGCCTGATAGAATACTGCATATGAGGAGGTGCAGCACTAAAGCGGCTGTATCTGTTGATTTGACATATTTATGGGATAGAGGATATTGAAATAGGAAAGTTTTTGCCTAAAGAAGTACTCTTCATATGGATTCACATAAGTAAACCATTTGGTTTTTAGAATAGCTTTTGAGTTGTCTCAAACAAACAGAGACAAAGCCCACAAAACCGAAAGAACTTAACAGAGTATCAAGTAGTACTTTGTATCTTTTTCGTGTCCACAAAAAACGCATCGCATAAGCACTTGAAGCAATGCTTGTCTCGAGCTCGAGCCACAAAAAAAAAAGGTGACTTCCTACCATTCCAGTGGCAATGGCAATGCCAATGCCAGAAGTAGACGAACTTCCTCCGAGAATGCGGATGAGAATGACAGTTGCTATGAGAGATACTATTGTGTGTACTCCCCGGGGTATACCGGTTGCGTCACTCCCACTCAGTGCATGGCAGCACTCTTGTTTTCTTGTTTTCTGTTTTCTTCTTTTTTTTTGTATCCACAATCGTGTTTGGCATTAACGCCCCAAAAGTGCGGCGGAAGCTGGCAAACAGGATATGGCATTCAAGGCGAAAGAGATTCAAGCCGAGAGCCAAACGACGACAGCTTTAAGTACAATACAAAGTCAAACACATACGACACACACGCCGCATACGAGTACATATATGCATGTATTTTGCATATTATATGCTCGGCAGTGTGTGCTTTTGTATCTATGTGTGTGTGCGTGTGGTTATCTCTCTCGAGCGAGAGTGTGTGTAGTGTGTGGCAGCCAGATGTGCACTCCACGTGCCGTTAAAAAGGAAAGGAAAACAAAATTGCCGCAGCAGCAGCAGCAACGAGTGAGTGGGGAGCGCAAGGAAAATAAAGAGGTGAAAAAATAAGCATTTTTCGGCTTGGTGAAACAAAAACTTTAACAATGTAACCCACAGAGAGCGATAGATAGAATGCAAGTTCAGAGAATGAGATTGGACACAAAAAAAAAAACTTGTGAAAACTAGAACGAAAGCTGACAAAAAAAAACGTGTGAAAATAGAATTAGAAAAGCTGTGATATTCGAGAACGAGAACTTCGGCGCAGGTATAACGAGAGGCTGCTATATAAACGAGAGCGGACAGAACGAGAGTTTTGGGTGAAGATGGAACGAGATCAGACAGAAGCCATGCTGACTGAACGAAAGCTGATAAGCCGAGAGAAGTTAAATAGAACGGGAGCAGCAGCATAGCAAAACAATCGAACGAGAGCTGAATAAACGAAAGCAGCTGAAGTTAAATCTAAAAGAACGATTGATTGTGGTAGAGAATCAAGAGAATCAGAAATACATATATACAGCGAGAGGCGATAAGTAGAACGAGAGCTGATGCAACGAGAGAATATATAACGAGTGAAAATAAGTAGAACGAGAGCTGATGCAACGAGAGAATATATAACGAGTGAAAATAAGTAAAACGAGGGAGAAACAGCGAGAGCTGAGAGAACGAGAGTGCCAGAAGCTTAACAAAACACATCACATCCTTCATCTGCATGCATGTGCGTGTGTGTGTGTGTGTGGCAGTATCCGTGTGTGAGCATGTGCTGAGGCAGAGTAAATCTGGCAGATTGCCCCCAAACCAGATAACAAAGAGGTTAAACAAGTGTGCATGAATGTAAACTTATTTTGCTGTTGTTTTCATTTCGGTGTCGTGACGTAGTGCTAGAGCATCACAGAATATCGTATCATACCAAAACGCCACGAAGCTAATGTGCCTTCCCTTGGATGCTTTTTCCCGCAGCAGGCAGCAAATGTTCAACATCCAGTTGCCGTGCACCGTGGAGAACAAGGAGAACACTCGGCCCTCACATGTGATACGGGAGAGCAGCAGCGACAGCGACGAGAGCGATGGGCATATCGTCTATCGCGACGACGATAACGATAACGTGCGCTTGGCCAAGCTGGCACGCAAGGAGTCGCTGTCCTTGAAGCTGCAACTGCGGCCGGACAAACAGGATCTGATCAATCGCAACATCCTGCACCAGGTCACCGACAACGAGATCAAGGAGTCCAAGGAGGCGATCGGAGCGCGTCTCATACGACGGCTTTCGATGCGGCCCACTGCCGAAGAGCTGGTCGAGCGTAATATCTTGAAAAGTGAGTACTTAATGGGGATTTCAACAAAGAGAATCATCTATAATCCTTTGAATTTCGGTATTCTGTAGCTCAATCACCCGCCGAGGAGAAGAAACAAAAGGAGGAGAAAAAGTCGTATCTGTTGCGGAAGCTCAGTTTTCGGCCCACCGTCGAGGAGCTCAAGGAGAAGAAGATCATCCGGTTCAATGACTACATCGAGGTGACGCAGGCCCACGACTACGATCGCCGGGCGGACAAGCCATGGACAAGACTGACGCCAAAGGACAAGGCCGCCATACGCAAGGAGCTGAACGAGTTCAAGTCCTCCGAAATGGCCGTCCACGAGGGCAGTCGGCATTTGACGAGGTACACTACAGTATATATGGCGCTAGCCCGCCTAGCCCGCCCACCTCTCTCCTTCAGCTGCCATTGGCTCTTTGCAAATTGCTCTCCTGCGTCCAAAGCAATCTCGCCATCCCCCACTGTGGTGGTGGCCACTGAATTATGTAGCGGATGTCCTTGTGGCCCAAATCGAATGGCGAATGAACGAGTGAGCCAGGCAAAAAATTGCCAATGCCAATGGCTAGTGAAGTGTCACGTGCATGCGGCAGTGGGAGTGGATGTGGGAGTGGCAGTGGCAGTGGCAGTGGCAGTCGACTCCATGCCATGCCACACTCTTGCATCGTTTTTGGACGATATGTAGCCACAAAGGATTTGGTGGTTCCACTTCTATTTCCATTTCCATTGCAATTTCTCTGGGTAGAAGAGTGTGTAATGGCTTTTTGGATTTTCGTGGGCCAGCAACCTTAAAGCTAAACGAGGTCTGCTGCTGGCCTGGCCCGGCAGCAAATCAGGAGAGCAAAAGCAGGCAGCCGAGCCTTCCGCTCTGTTGAAACTTTGCGATCCCATAAACTTGCTGCGTGTTGCACACACACACACACACACACACAAAAACTAATCAAAACTTTCTCCTCTTATTGCAGATTCCATAGGCCATGACGATTGCAATGGCAGCAACTTTCCAGCAAATTGCAACAGAAGCAACCCAAGAAGAAGCAACAATTGTATTTTATGCAACATCAAAATGTCAGCAAATATTTAAAGGCAACAAATTAAGAGCAGAAAACAGTTTTCCTCCCAGATAGTAAATTCAAGTAAAATACACAAAGAAAAAACCAACAAAAAAAAACAAAAAAAAAATGGAAAGAAAAGAAAAGAGAAGAGAAATGAAAGAGAGTCCACATTCAAGAACATAATCTAGGTTTGAGAGTTTTTTTTTTCTAATTCTAAGTTCTTTATGTTTTGTTCCACCCACTTCTCTATTTCTCTATTTGTTAATTAAATTAATTGTAAATAAATTTCGTTCGATATATTCAATCCGATTTGTCAAGAAAACGTTAATCAAAATAGTACCGATTCGTCGATTCGTTGTGTAGAAAAATGTTAAGTCGCTTTTGTCAGCGCCCAACCATCGCGCTGAAGGCACATTATGTATTATATTATATAAACAAACAATAAAAACAAAAACGAGAAGAGGAAGAAGAAGAAACAACAACACACAAAAAGATATTAAAATTAAAAGTAAAAAAAATGGTAGAGTCCCAAACCAATTGATGGCTGAGAGTAAATTCACTAAAGTTTAGGCCTTAATTTACAATTACTGTTGCTTTCCATACATTTTTAAATAAAACTTTGATTTAAGCCACACACGAAAAGATAAAAAGATAACCCAGAAATGAGAGAATTCTAAACCATTAATTTTTAAAAACTATGATTATTATTATTGTAAAAAGCTTAAATTTAAAAACAAAAACAAAAAACAAAAAACGAAAAACAACACATTAAAATATAGAGAAGACTACCACATACGATACGATACGATACGGAAAAATAAATGCAAGTTTTTCGAAAGACATTCATGTTTTGTAGGACTATTTTGTTTGTTTCCCTTCGTTTTATTGCTGCCCCCCTGTTTTCCCTTGAGTTTTCCTTCCGTTCTTCAACAACATGTACATACATATCGCCAAAAAAAAAACAAAGAAAAAGAAAGAAAATATCGCATAGCTGGAGGAAAAGTCAGAAAATGCTCAAAAACTAAATAGAAGAAAAAATGAAGAAGAAAAATGAATAATTCTTATATCAGGAAAATATAAACTGAATAAAAGTTGGACCCAGAATGAAGTAATTTTTTTTTTTAGAGAGAAGAGAACCAGTAAGAAGCAAAACAAAATTACAATTTAAGATAAAAGTCACGTAAACACTTTTTAGAGAGACAAGAGAATACGATAGAATGCGGAACAACAGATGGAACAAACATCCACCCCTCTGATGATGGGAATTGATGAATATTTATTTTGTAAAACCCGCCCAAAAAAAAAAAAAAAAAAACAGGAGTGGAAACTGAAAACTTTTACTCAAAAAAAACAAAAACAAAAAACATTCCAACAGAATAGTAAACTTAACCAAAAGATGAAACAAAAGAAATATATATGATAACCAGAAGACAAAAAAAAAAAACAAAAAAACTGTACATTTTTGAGGCAAATGCAAATTGAAATGCTCGCGCGTGCTCGTGAATATTTAAACTTAAAGAAACGTAAAACCTAAAGAAATCCGTTTGGACACTTAGTAAGATACACAGACACACAGCTACAGATACAGCTATTGATACAGATACAGATACAGATACAGCATATAAATTTAAACAAGCAAAAAAACGAAAATGAAAAAGCAAAAGCAAAAAATTTAATAGGCAAAAGCCAGTGGAAAATTATTTCTAATGATAATGATAAAGTGGCGCTTCCTTTGCAAAACAAAAAAAAAAAACGTTTCATATTTCTCGAGAAAATACCGACTTGAAGCGAACGAAGACTTGTGTGTTTCATGGAGATGTTTGGAGATGTCTGGGGATACTTCGGATATATCATAGTTTTTTTGGCTAGGGCTTGGAACACCAATTGGGTTTCTCTCTGAAAAAGAGGAGAAGAGAATGAATCTGTCTTTCTCTTTCTCTATCTCTATCTCTATGTCTGCCTCCTGCTTCAAAGCGTTGCATTGTCAAAAACAAAAGTTAAGCAATATATATTGCATATATACATATATATATATATACATATATATATATATAAATAAATAAATTATACATATTTAATGACTATACAAAAATACCAGAGAGCAGAGGCCGAAGAATACCGAGTATATATATGTATTGTATATGTATACACCTATTTATATGACGATGATAAGCGATGATGATAACGATGACGACGATGATGATGATGATGATAAGCCGATGATACTATAAAGAACTCTATCAAAATATGGGATAGTAATTAGTTTACACTTTTTCTATGGAGCGATTTATAGAGCCAGAAGAAGCCAACCAGAAGCACCAGCGGAGGGTAAAGGAGAGAGAGAGAGAGCGAGAGAGGCGTCGCGACGGTTTCGAAACCCTCGTACTCCCCCACTCCCCTACTCACCCACGAACAGTAGGCGAGCTATCTAGATACGAATTTTAGGTTCTCCAGGTCTCCTTCTGATCCTGATCCAGATCCAGATCCCCCACCAGCCCCCATTAGTTTCTGCCTTTTGGTTATATGTACTCCTTCCTGATTCTATCTGATTCCCTATTTTTCGACACATCTTTGCCAATTTTTGCAGTTGCCGTTGCAATGAGATACAAAACCAAAAACAAAAAAGATAAACTCTTTAGTAATTAACTAAGAAACACCCGTGGCATGAGTAAAAGTCAAAGTCAAAAAAAGCGAATACAGTTGTGAAAATTTCGACAAAAAAATGCTAAGGCACAAAAAGAAATACAAGTTAAAAAACAAACAGTAGCGGAATAAGCTTAAGGGAGAGATTTTTGGCGGCTAAAACACACAGAGAGAGAAAAGATAACCGAAAGAAGAGAGTACAGAGAACAGAAATCGAAACAAAAACAAAAGAGAACTCGACAAAAGAACAGAGCAGAAACCATGAGAAAATAAAACCCCCAAAAGAAAACCAAGAAGAAAAATATTGAATAATAATCACCGACAAATTGAGATTTAATAAAGATTTAATTACTAACAAAAAACCAAAACGAAAACTTCAATGTATATTCGCACAAGTGGATATTCTTTTGTCTAAGGAATTTGCATATATATTTCAGGTTTTGTGGTCGTGGATATACTATCTGTGGAGATACATATTGAAGGAAGATTACAGAAAAAAATAGTTATTTCTTTGCTTACAAATGGTAAGTTTTTCAAGAAATTTGTGAGACATTGGACTGTTTTCGTAGGGATTTTATCTGTGGAAATATTGTGTATTTATTACAGAAGGAATGGTATGATTTGCTTGCATAAATATCCAATAATGCCAGGTGCAAATCTTAGACATCAAAGAACGAAATGAATGCAGATTCAATGACTTGCCAAAAGACCTTTAAACTTTACTAGACATTCATCTAAATAGAATCCCTATCAATATGGAAACGCTGCCTACAACAGGCTCTGTGTATCCAGAAATTGGTCAGCATTCATCGGTGGCATACCCCTCCTTCAGTATTCCGCTGAAGAAGCTGCTCTTCACACGTATCTTGGATGACCATGCGTTGGGTCTCCACATCCACATTCGGTAAGAGAATCTCCTCCTTCTGTTGTACTGAGCATCTCCTTGGTTTCGGTCAATTTCCGGCTCACCGCAAGAGAGAACAGATCTGACATCGTAGATACATGTTTTTCCCATGAACTGTAACTCAAAGATACTTTAGATGCTGGACAACTGCCCAAAAGTAGGCTTTCAATGTGAGAGCTGGGCCAATCCATGAAATACTTGTCTACTCTTGACAGAGTCTTATTTTCCTCAATTTTCTCGCGGAAATTCCTCCGCTGCCGCTGCCGCTGCCGTCCCCTACCCCTCTACCCCTGCTCCGTTCATTCATTCATTCATGAATTCCTTGGCATTTTTCCATCATATTTCCACATGCCACGTAGTGCCCGCCGCCCCTGCCTGCCACTCTCTCGACTGTATCTGTATCTGTATCTGTATCTTTTGCATCTGGTTTTTGGGGTCGAGGTGGCCGCTGCTGCGTACGTGCCAGACAACAGAAGAGAGTCACTCCAGTCCACTCGCCACTCCGCCGCTCTGCTCTCTTCGGTGCCCCGCAGGCGTGGAGGCGACACCAATCACAATCATCATAAGACCAACGCCATCGCCATCGCACGTTGATTATGATGGGGGCCTCTACTGGATCTGGCTGTGGGCCTCTTCTCTGGAGATCTTTTGTCGAGTGTTTTTTCGCGAAAGTTTCTTTTTATCGCCGCGGCAAGATTCTAACATTTTTGTGTGCATTCCACTTTGGTGCGTTCAGCGGAGTTCCCTTGGATGCTTCTCGAGCTCTCGAGTTCTTGAGTTCTTCTCTTCTGTTGGCCATAAAACGTACTCGAACCCATTAAAACGCGCCACTTTGATAACCGCAAATGGCCAACAAACGCAGCCAAGTGTAACCCGAAGAAGAGACTTCGCTGTAGGACGTGTTTGCATGTGCGTTTGTCTGTGCTGTGCTGTGCTGGGCTGTTGATTTATTTGATGGCCAGTTAGCGGAGAGATGATGATGTTCCTCGGAGGTAGAGGCCGACACTGAGACACTCAGCCGCGGCTGAGGCACGTTGCAGGAGTAGGCTCTTCTTGAAATGGGGCAAAAGATTGGGCTACCAATTATCCGGGTTCATGTTCTCATATGTGTGTGGGAAAACGTTGGTGGAAATAGCGCTGGGATTTGAGGAAAGTTTATGGAGGATTTAGGTAGCGGTTCGCCACAGATTTCACAGCAGCTGTAAAACAGATATTTATTTGGAATGTTTGACAGATGATGGGAGAAGGAACAACCTTCTTAGGGATCGAACCGCCAGAAATCAAAGCAGTATAAAGGGAGACATTCGTTGGATACTCTTCTATCCATAGTTCTGAAGAGCCTCCTGCATTTGCAAGTCGTCCTTCTCCTCAAAACTATCTTGTATCTGTGTATCTGGGCCCTGAAAAGAGATTTGTTTTTGGAATGTTTGAGAGATGGTGAGATCCATTTTTGATCCAGATATCAAAGCAGACTAAGGGAGACATTCGTTGGAGACTCTTCTATCCATAGTTCTGGAGAGCCTCCTCCTTTTGACCGGCCTGCAAACCTATCTTGTATCTGTGTATCTGGGCCCTGAAAAGAGATCTCTTTTTGGACTCTTTGAGAGATGGTGAGATCCATTTTTGATCCAGATATCAAACCAGACTAAGGGAGACATTCGTTGGATACTCTTCTATCCATAGTTCTGAAGAGCCTCCTTTTGCCCCGCCTGCAAACCTATCTTGTATCTGTGTATCTGGGCCCTGAAAAGAGATTTGTTTTTGGAATGTTTGAGAGATGGTGAGATCCATTTTTGATCCAGATATAAAACCAGACTAAGGGAGATATTCGTTGGAGACTCTTCTATCCATAGTTCTGAAGAGCCTCCTTTTGCCCCGCCTGCAGAACTATCTTGTATCTCCGCTCAATCTCCGCCTTTCGGTCACATTTGATGTTGTACTCGATCCGCATCCACATGTGAGGAGAAGCAACGTTTATTGGAAGCCAAAGCTCAAAGTGTAATGAAGACAACCATTTGGCATGCTATCCTTCTATACCATCGATTGTCCTGCAGCTGTTTGTCCAGCACTATCAATCCTCCTGCTATCAATCCGAACAATCGGTTAACACTTCAGCGGAACGGACCAACGGCTCCGTCCATTGTTTGCGGGTCAGTCCCAGAGACAGAGAGAGAGAGAGAGAGAGGCAGAGAGAGGGAGAGAGTAACGGCGGGAAATTTGCATTTGGCCAGAGGTTGCGCTGCGCGACTCCCCGTGGAAGACTCTCCCTGGGCTTTGCTTTCTTTACGACCCATCGTCTCTGTTGCAGTCTTTCAGTACTTTTTCCTTGCTCTTTTCCCACCTCTTTGCCCACCCCTTTTGCGCCTCTTTTTCCCGCTCTTTTATTGTATATAGATTTTTCACTATGGCCTTTTGTTCGTTGTTGTTGTTGTTGTTGTTGTTGTTGCTGTTGTCTTTTGGCAGTGAAAAAGTTTATTTGATTCTATTTTCATTTTATTTGAATTGTGTTTTTGCGGCTTTTATGGCGCGACCGACGACGACTCTCTGCCGAGATTTGTGTTGTGAAAGTTTGGCCAATACACAGTTTTTGGGCCGCCACACAATCATCGATGGAGAAGAGTAGCGCTCCTCCCAGACTCCCAGCCTCTCCAGCCTCTCCAGCCTCTCCAGCCTCCCAGCCTCTCCAGCCTCTTCAGCCTCTCCAGCCTCTGAGCCTCTCCAGCCTGCCTTTTGCTGGTGATTGTAAAACAATAAAAGCAACACCTGACTGCCGTTTCTTTTCGTTTCGTTTTGGGGCTGCAACAATGGCGATGACTTTGTTGGTGGCCCAAACAGCCAGCAGCAGATCTTATCCTGGCCTTAACCGAAAATGGCCAAAAACAAAACGAAACGATGCTTATTGTTGGATAGACCCCAACATTTCAATTGCGTTTTGTCTGAAGTGCGTTGGGATCTTCTTTTGACACAACAGCAAATTGAGGCGGTAAACAGAGGCGCAGATGCGCAGATACACAGATACACAGATCCACAGATACTTTTTGGGGGAGAGTCTGCGGCGGGCAGAGAGATGGTGGAGCCTGAAATTAAATCTAAATCTAAATAAATAAAAATCGTGCACTGTTAAGTGAAAGGCAACGAAAGACGACGATCTGCTGCTGCCGCCGCTGCCGCTGCTGTTGCAAATTTAATCAATTGATGAGGCAGGCAACAGCACAGGTTGCACATTGGTTGCACCAGTCAGTGCCCGTTGCTTTTATTGTTGCTTGTCGATGGCTGCCAAGCAATTTGGATTTTGTGGCACCAACAAAACCTGACCAAAAAGACATTTACATTCTACTGCTGTTTCTACCGCTGCCGCTGCTGCAAGTGTCGTTGCATGCAACAACAACAACAACAACAACAACAACTACAGCACTGCCTGCCTGCCGCACACTTTACACGCTAGAAACCGTGACTTTAATTTTCTTTTCTCCCCCAATCACACAGCCTCCTGCCATTTTCCTCGATTTTCCTTCTTTTTTTTCCTTTTCGGTTTTTTTTTTTTTTTGTTGTTTTTTGATTTGTTTTGTTTTTGCCAGCAATCTTTCCTCTCTTTTATATAATTTCCCATTAAATCGGCTCGCAGTGTCGCACAGCCTTCTTTTTGCCCGTGTGGCAGGCAGGCAGGCAGGCAGGCAGCGGCGATTGTGTTTCTGTGGCATGCTTTTAATTTGTAATTATATTGCACATTGCATTGCCACATTTTACTTTCGTTTGTCTTTCGGGCCACTGATTTATGGCCCACAAAAAAAAAAAAGGAGGAGAGTAGACAAGTCCGAGCTGTCCGAAATGTCCGAAATGTCCGAGATGGCTAAATGGCGAATGCAATTGGAATCGTGAGTTAAGGCGCTTGTCAAATTAACAGCAGGATGAGGTCTGATCGAAATGGGATGACCGGGAGATGGCACTCTCCTCCGGTTTTCTCCTTTTTCTGGTGGAGGTGGAGGCGGGAGGGTTGTGGCAAGCATTGCCCGACACTAGGCGGTATCACTTCTTTAGAAAGAGATTCATTTTCCACTCAAAGTCGTCTGAAAATGTCCTTTAAAAAAAGCTTATTTTCCTACAAACAGAGGTACCTTCGCAGTCGCAAGCTCCCAGATCGAAGCCCTATATCTGCCACACATAAAAAATCCATCTTCAAGGGCATCAAAGTCTTCGTTTCCCCCCAAAATCCAGCCGCTGTCCCCCTTTTCCGCAGTTGTTGCCTCTCTGCTGCAAACACGCAATAACAGGCAACATCAACAACAAAACACCCACTCGCTGGCTTGTGGCAGGCAGGCAGGCAGGCAGGCAGGCAGGCAGCAGGTTGCAGCGACACACAGGGAAAATGTGCAACCAATTTCCAAAAGCGATTCTATTGACAACATGACAACTCGCGGCAACATGTTGCTGCAACATCGAAAAGACCCATTGATTAGGGTGACCCTTGTAGTGGGTCTCCCCCCCTCCCCCCCTCTCCCTTTCTCAGTGCCTCTTGCCCCCAAAATTGTCATTGACTGTTGCTGCCGCTGTTACGAGTAGTCGTTCAATTGATTGAATTACATACATGCCCCACGGCCCTGACTCTTGTTGCTGCCTCCGCCCCTGCCTCCCTTTTGTGGCAGACCCTAAGTCCACCTCCGCAAACTAGAGCCTGACTTTTGAGCCTTGAATTGGGGAACATTGCTAGCCAAGTGGCAGACACGGTCCGTACTTGTGTTTGGGGCCAGAGTCTGGTCGTTTGGGGCCAGAGCTGGGCCAAAGTTTGGGCCAGAGTGGTGCCTGGTTAGCCAGTTAATTAGCAGCCTTGTGGCAGCCATTGCCACTGCTCGTGGCCGCTGTCCTTGTGCCACTTGTGAGTGGGAGTCGCCAATCGGTGGCAGGGGCAGAGGCAGTGGAGAGATGCCAGCCACAGATGCAGCTGAAAAGCAATCAAAAGTGCAGCCAACGATGGCTTAAGATATCCGAAGTAATTCCCACCGAGAATGTCTCAGAAGAGGTTGTTTTTAATGGCTTAAGATACGGATACAGATACAGATACCGAAGTATTTCCACAACTCGAGATTAGCGTATCTTTATCTGCGAGTACAGTAGCCGCCATACAGGTATCCACATATCCACTTTATCTCTAAAGACAAAATCCTTTAAGCGGATTGGATTCGTCCATTCGAAGTACTATATCACCATTAGCATTTGGCTGCCTCCAATCACTCAGTGTCCAATTGCATAAGCCATCAACCCTGCCCCCCCTGCCCCCCCTGCCACTCTGGCAGCTGTCCGTGCAACAAGCCGCACAAAAACCACAGCCAAAAGCCGCAAATCGACGACGAACTTGTCCTTAAAATGTCAGCCAAAGTGTTCATTAATTTGTGTATCTCGTGTCTCTCTCTCTCTTTCTCTCTCCCTCTCTGTCTCCCTCTTTTTATTTGTTGCTCCATTTTGTTGCATGTGTGTGTGTGTGTCTAGTCATTGATCATGAATTCCATGAGCTTTGGCACTCGCCGTTGCCGTTGCCTCTGGCGTCGACGTTGCATGCGTCATTCCCCTGCCTCAAGCGCATATATGCATATGCCACCAGCAATTGGCGACACAATTTTTGTGGTGCCTGCCTTTGGCATGTGCCTGTGTACCCCCACCCCTCCCCACCAACCGCGTGCCACAACCTACGCAAGAAAAATAATCTCCGTACCGTTCGGTTCGGTTGAATGTTTCGACTGACTGTTCGTTCGCCAGTAGTTTGTAATTTTCATGTAAAAGTCGCGCCAACTGCAAAATGGCCCTGCAACAAAGCAACAACAACAACAACTGTGTTGACTGACTGGCAGGCCACGCCCCCTCCCCCTGCCCAACCAACGTATCCCACCTCCTCTATCAGCCCTGATTCCAGAGCCCAAGGCCCCGGGTCTCTGCCGGGGCTGGCTCCCCCATCAATCTCAATTGCTTCGCATTTTCATATGCGACTCTTCGATCATTTTGCGGCATGGAGTGACAGGGCAACAGGAACCCCAACAACAGATACAACAACGGTAATAAAAATTGCAGATTTGTCACAGCAATTGTTGTTGTTGTTGTTGTTAGCGCTGCTGTTGTTGCTCGTGGCCTGGCCTGATTCTTGGCTCTGTTTTGCCTACGTTGCATCGTGTGCCTGTAATTACTTTTTATGATGTTGATTTTTTTTTATGTTGGCTTATACCCTTTGCTGCAGAGTATTGTGATTTTTAGGATCTTTTTGCAATCAGAATCAGCCTTTTTATTTAATTCTGCAAAACATTTCATTTTCCATGTATTCTACATTGAATTCTACATTCAATTACATCCTCAGCTACATTCTACATTGCACTACGCACTTTACCGCCTACCGCCACTGTACGAACAAGTGGTC